TTTTTAAAGTGGATGCGTACTCTACTTATAGCTGCATTTTTTAAAGTAAATGTGACTGATTTGTAAAAAAAACAACCTTTTCTTTAAGTGTAGAAATGAGCCTGTACAAGTGATGCCTGTTTAATGTTGACATTTGCTCCTACCCCCTGTGAATCGAGAACATTTACAGGTAATGGTTGCTCCCAAACTTTTTTTTCAATTGTCAATACAAATAGTTTATGCATGTATACCACAAACTATGATTCCAAAACACTTTTATATTTATTTAAAACAAATTTTACATCCTTAACTTTAAAACGGCTTTGTGATGACTTAATTTAAAAAAAAATAAAAGTGCTGCTTTCGTGTGAGCATTTTTATGATGTAAAACTTCTTTCTCAATTGTCAATACAAAGAGTTTAACATGTATATATACCCCAAACTATGATTCCAAAACACTTTTATATTTATTTAAAACAAATTTTACATCCTTAACTTTAAAACGGCTTTGTGATGACTTAATTTAAAAAAAAATAAAAGTGCTGCTTTCGTGTGAGCATTTTTATGATGTTTTTGACTCAGTGACACGGACAGATTATGATTTTTCAAATACAATTCTCCACAAATGTCGCTTTGTCTGTAGCTGGCTACTGACTGTAACTTGTTTGAAAATCATTAGCTTGACTTGTATTACCCAGAACACACCATTTAAAACGAGTTTGTAATTTTACATCATTAACTTTAAAACGGCTTTGTGATGACTTAATTAAAAAAAAAAAAGTGCTGCTTTCGTGTGAGCATTTTTATGATGTTTTTGACTCAGTGATACGGACAGATTATGATTTTTTTTCAAATACAATTCTCCACAAATGCCGCTTTGTCTGTAGCTGGCTACTTACTGTAACTTGTTTGAAAATCATTAGCTTAACCTGTATTACCCAGAACACACCATTTAAAACGAGTTTGCATTGTTCTTTTGCAGTTTTAACTGTTTGAAAACATCCTGTCCGTTATTTTAGTATTCACGTCATTATTATTGGTGAGGGAAGGACAAAAAGGGAAAAAAAAAACCTGTTACAATGAACCACATCACTGTACATGGAGGACTCTCGTGACTAATTGGTACTGGGGACAATGAGAGAATGAATCAGACACAAAATCACAAGTCAAAGCCAAAATAAATCTGTTTAGCATCTGTGTGCGTTGCTGGGGTGGAATGCATTAAACTTCCAAAACAACAATGCAAAGTTAAGGAAGTAATTATGCATTGCGGGATCATGCAAGGGCAAGAACGTCTTGTATATTGTGTGCCACCACAGCAATGTTTACCATTTGATCTTATCAGCCTTTGCAAGCGTGTGTAAGTGTGTGTGTGTGCGCGTGTGTGTGTGTGTGTGTGTGTGTGTGTGTGTGTGTGTGTGTATTGCATGCCAAGAAGTGGGGACCATATTTGATATGAGAACTTCTGAAACGTGGCCTTTCCTATTCATCGGAACAGGTGTAACGCGACCTGGCTCTTTTCATTGCGCGTTTATTTGGTGAGTTTCATGGCAGCCAAATTTACAGTCAAGCCAATCTCAAAATGGGATCGGAGAGATAATACAGTGCAGTAATTACTGTCTGTCAACACCATTAACAATTTAATGTAATTTCAGATGGGCATTGCTGGAGAGACAGATGGGACAGATAGATGGTGCGGGAGAAGGGGGCAGGGGGGGCATTGGGCTATTTATCCAGCTGTTTGTATAATGGATGAACCGGAAACCTTTATACAGGAACCAGCTGTACAAGTTCTTGTGCTTGCAAAGAGTGTTTGGTTGTGTTGCTTCGGGACATAAATATGTTCTGTGTTATGTGAAAAGGAGAAATGTCTTGTCCTAAAGTTCACAGAGAGGAAAGTCGCACCTCCACTGTCCAGTATATTCTGCACGGTTTGAAGATGCTTGTCGGAAGCGTGACGGCATGATGAGGTCACATTTAGCTGCGCGGGATTTTAGACGGATTGAATGGCGCTCAGGTGCCATATGACGAATGAAGCGTTTACGAAAGTAACGGCGCAGCGCAGCCAAGTGCTTGGCTGTGCGTTGTCCCAAAACACCGACGAGGGACACGCAGTTGTTGCCCTTGTATTTTGAGACACACTGAAACAATCTAGCACTGAAGCGTCACTTTGCATCGCTCGCTTTTGTTACATTCTGCGGTGACGCAGGTAGGAATCTCAGGCTAGCGGCGACCCGGCTAGCCAAAGCTAGCGACGTGCGGCTAATCCCATTTCATGCCTGTTGGAGTCTTTCGCTAATATATATATATATATATATATATATAATTTTAAAGTGTTGCAAAAACAATAGGGGCCTCCCACCAATTTGGAAGCGAACAATATATATATATATATAGTGTGTGTCAGAGAAAAAATTGAAAATTTTTTCAAAAAAATCACAAAATAACACTGTCTCAAATATGCTCAAAATGTCACAATTTAGGCGCAGGCTGGATCTCTGAGGGCTAAAAGTTTGTTTTATTGACATAATTTGCTGCAAGAGATATCTATAGGTTTTTATTTTTCTTCTCCTCCTTCGAACCAACGGCAAAATGATTTGGTTGAAGTGTAAAGAAACTAAAATGGGAAATCTGCTGTAAAAGGTGTGCTGAATTCTGAACTGGTTGCCAGTCAATTACAGGACTAAATAAACAAAAAGAAATAATTTGTGGGAAAACCAAACTTGCTTTGAAATCGAATGCATTTCCCAATGTCAATTGACTCGACTTGGCAGGCATGTCCGGACATTTGGTCTGACAAATCATTTCCTTCTTCCGTCAAGATTGCCAAGAGTTGTTGTCAATGTTATTGTACTTTTGTTGTTGTCTTCTTTTTTTTTTTTCATTTGACTTTTTAATTTTGTGTGTCAAATGAATATCATAGCCCAGTCTATGTGTGACGGGTGGTGGGTGGCCAGAGGTGATTAGGACGGATTACCCTGAGCTGCTCCTGATGTGCTCCGTGCTAACATGACATGCGCTGATGCCGCTGTTGCGATGCCGTTTGGAATTTGTGACATTGCACGTGTGTGAGTGCATGCCCAGCACTGGTTTGTTTGCATTTTTCTGTTGTTGTTGTTCCAGCCAAACCCAAGCAAGATTTTTTTTTAAAAAGTCATGTGGTACCATTGAGTTCCTCACTTGGGAGGGTGCACATTTGACATGAGTCTCCAATTAGTTTTCTTTTTTTTTTTTTAGGTGCACATTTGACATGAGTCTCCAACTAGTTTTCTTTTTTTTTTTACTAACCTTCCCTTTCATATGTTGTAAAAACCACAGAGTTAAATAATCAAGGCAAGAATGCATGCGTTTTTGTTTTCTTTCTATGCATGACTGGAAGTGAACAGCCCAGCCCTAACCTTAGCCGGTAATGACAGCCAAACCGGATTTTCGTCTTTGGCTTTTTGTTGAGGGTTTCCGAAGAGAATGTTTGTGGTATTGTTTTTGTCGCATGCTTACATTATCCGTTTACGGAAAAAAGAAAAAAAAATGTCAGACTTGCAAATACGAATCCAAACGGTCATGTCTAATAAAATAAAAAGCACTTTTAATGTTTGCCGCTCACACATTGTCAAATTTCGCAGACACATTGAGAATTGCACGCTTGCAGAGGGTGATTTTTCTCATATGAGAACACAGGCCAACTGAATGCCTCGGTGTCACGTATGGCGTCCTATCAAGACTTCTGTGTCAATATAAAAAGTATCTTGCCAACTATGGCACCTGAAATGATCCGCTATAACAGGTTTCAGTTTGAAGTTCAACAAAACCTTAAGAGACAGACCTCGTGGTTGAGGCCTGAAATGTCTGCAAACACGTCCAAGTCCAAAGGGACCTTTCGGTCAGGTTTCACGATGAAATGGATGGATCAAATTCCTTGTGGACATTTAAAAAAAAAAAAAAATCACTTCAATTTTCGAAAGGTTCTCAAACTCTTGCATGGTCAACAAATGTATGACATAGAGAGCTTTTAAATGGCATTTGTGAACAGGGTGCCATTACATACATTTTGAGATTGGGAAACTCTCACACAAACACATTTGACTGCAAAAATACAGAAGGTAACCACTCCTTGCGGTTTGTTACGTCCAAAATACATGGTCACATCATAAATATTACAAGAAAAAAAAAAAGACATTTGAAAAACATTTTCACATTGAAACAAAAAAGATTGTTTTTGTATATTAGCGTGACAGCTCTGACAATAATGCGGATGGTCTACAACAGTGATAAGACAATTATCAGCTGTGCATTCAAAGTTGAAAAAGAAGTGCAAAATATACATGATGACATCATTTTCAAAGTGTTTCTTATTTTCGTTTTCTGTTCCTTCACTGACAGAAATGTGGGAATTTCAGAAAATCGGACTGCAAGCGGTCGTCTACACTCACTGAGCAGAACATTTTGTTTACTTGCACAATCTAACAGATTGAGATTCACCGAAAAGGCTCCGTCAAAATTGGATGTTGTCCTCATGCGCCGCTGCATCAGATGGACAAAATGTTAAAAATACTTCTCAGTATGATGCAGTGCAATTACGGTAAGTACAGTAAATAAATATGTAATATATTAAGTTTTAACCTCAGAAAGAGAACGTCTTTGGATCGGCCTATTTGTGGTGAGATATTGGATTTCATTGTGTTCCTAATGAAGTGGCTAAGAGGGTTTGTACACTGAAAAAAAATGTTGAATTTACTCCATTTGGTATTTGGTCAAGTGGTTGCACAAGATGAAATCGTCTGGATCGAGATAATTTTTTTGAGTAGATATATAGACTATTTAAATAATTTTGAATTTACTCAATTTTATTTTGTCAAGAGGTTGAACAAGATAACATCATCTGGCTCCAGATACATTATTAAGTAGACATATACAAGTGATGGGAAAACGAAGCTTCAACTTTGCTTCATGAACCTTTTTTTTGGTGTATTTTTTTACTCCTCCAGATGGCACTCTGACTTTATTTTTTTTTAGTAGATGTACAGTCTACATGAAAATCTGAATCGAGATGATTTTATTTCCTGCAACCACTTGACAACAAAAATGAAGTCAGTTCACCCAAAACTTTTTTTCAATGCAGTGAATGTTTCGCCTGTCATGACAAACGTTGAACAAGGACCATATGTCGCCTTCTCACAGTGTATGTTGTAAACCGTGGTGTCAACAGATGTGTGGATGTGACGTCAGATGTTTGAGACGTGCCCTAACTTCCGATTATTGGCCTGCATAGAGTCCGTCTTCATTTTCAGAGGTAACTCAACCTCGGATTTTGCCTTTTGCTTCTGAAACCTATTTAAGCATATGCAAGCTGTCAGTGTAACAAGGGAGAAGAAGAGCCCGACGCATGTCACCGAAAGGGCAATGAGGGCAGGTTTACACGGAAACATGTCATACCTCTCGGGTCCCTCCTGCAATTGGCCAATCTGCCAGGGTCTGTCCTCTATTTCAATATCAGCCTCTCTTGTCAGCAAGCTCTGGATGTAGCTTTCATTGCTCACCGTTTCATTCACAAATAAGTTCACCCTGACTGTGGAGTAGAGTGGCTCTGGCTGACCATGATCACTGACCTTTACCAGAAGGCTATGGAGTCCGCGGTTGCTGAGTTCCCGCTCTAAAGTGATATTGCCCGTTTCTGGGTCGATGGAAAAGGACCCGGGCTCCCCTCCCTTTCTTTTAATGATGCTATATGCAATCACAGCATTCATTCCTGTATCGTTATCCACAGCGTACACCTCTGTGATGGATGTTCCTGGCAGAGTGTTGGGCAGAACCAACATGTAGGACTGATTCGACTGAGGGAAGAGGACAACGGGTGGATTATCGTTGACATCCAACAGCAGAACGGTCACCATGGTGACCGAGGAGAGCGCAGGTTCCCCGCCGTCGACGGCCTCAATCCACAGCTGGTACGTACCCTGTTGCTCGCGATCGAGCGAGATCTTGGCCCTTAACGTGCCTCGGCCCGCGTCGATCAGAAAGATGTCGCTGCCGTTGAGGATGGAAAGGGCCACCCAGCTGTTTTCCCCCACGTCGGCATCGGTCACTGAGAGCACCCCGATTTCGCCGTAACCCGGGAAGTTCTCAGGCACAAAAAAGGTGAAATCCTTATTGATGAACCGTGGGCTGTTGTCATTGCGGTCTCGCACGGTCACCACCACGGTGGCAATGGACTCCCTCCGTGGGGTTCCCTGGTCCACCGCTCTCGCCATGAAGCGGTACGTATCCTTCTCCTCCCGGTCCAGTGACGTGGTCACGCTCAGGATACCCGTCAGCCGATCCAAAACAAAGATGGCGGGAGCGTCGCCTCCGAGGAGAAAGATGACCTCCCCTCGGGCTTCGCTGTCCTGGTCTGTGGCCTGGAGCTGCGTGAGATAGGTGTTGGGTGGATTGTTCTCGTCGAGAGATATCTCCACCAAAGACTGCTGAAAGACCGGGGCGTTGTCATTTTCATCCAAAATCTGCACCTTGAGGAAGGTCTCGATGATGAGCCCTTGGCTATCTTCCGCAACCACAACGAGCTCATACCCCTGAACCGTTTCGTAGTCCAGCGGCTCTGTGGTTTCAAGTAGGAATTCGTTTTTGATGAGCTGGTACGGTCCAATCCTGAAAGGACCGGTCCCCTCCAAACGGCAGTCCACCTTGTGACTGGCATCGATATTTTTGACCGTAAAAAAAGCAATAGGGGAGTACGCTGGCTCAGATTCTTTGATGGTCACCACCCCGTTTTTTTCCTGGGCGATGTATCTGGCTATGACCACAGGGGGACCCATTCGAACTTTGATCAAACGAATAGCAACGGTGGCGACAGCGGGAATACAACCGGGTCCGTTGGCCAGAACGGTGAGTTTGTAAGACGTGGCTGTAGCGGTGTCTATTTTCCCCGCTAATTTGATCACGCCTGTAGTTCGGTTCAAATGGAACAAGCTTCTGGTCCCCCTTGGCACACGCTCACTGTAAGCGTAGCTGATCTGAGCGTTTGCCCCGATGTCGGGGTCAAAAGCACGCAGGCGTGCCAAATGTGTCCCTTTGGTGGAGTTGCCGCGCAGAGTGAGATTGAGGTGTGACTCCGTAAACTGGGGACAGTTATCGTTCACGTCCAAGATGACAATCTTGAGAGTGGCCGCACCAAGTAGAGGAGGGGTCCCCCCATCCTCTGCGATGATGTCTGTGATGTATTCGGCTTGCGTCTCTCGGTCCAAAAAATCGGTCACGATGACGAAGGGCGTCAGCTCCCCTCCTTCGTTCTCCTCCACGTCCAGCGTGAATACGCCAAAGTCGTTCACGAGCCAGTAGGTCTGCACTCCATGAAGACCCAGGTCCGGGTCAACTGCGGACTGCTCCACCGCGTAGCGAGCGTTGATGGCTGTGTTTTCCGGGACGGATATCACGATCTCGTCCACGGGGAACTTTGGTCTGTTATCGTTGATATCCTCGATGATCATCTTCACTTTGATGAGTTGAAAATATTGCTGCGGAAGCACAAACACATCCACTGAGAGGAAACATCCGTGTCCGTGTGGGTTAGAAGGGCAAAGTGTCTCCCTGTCAATCTCCGTGGCGGATGTAAAAAAGTCTCCGGTGAGATTATTGAGTGTCACGTACTGTTCGCTGAAACTCCTTTGAGCCACGCTGAAAAAATAGGGGGGGTCAGCTGTCAAATCCAAATTCAAGTCCACTCCAATGGCTCCTATGAAGGTCCCCTTTGGTAACCCCTCCTTTATTCTATAGAGGAGTTCTTTTGCTTGACTGAAGCTTGCAAAACAGGACGGAGAGCCGGCGTAAAGCAAAAGGATGAAAAATCCCTGCAACATAACCATGAGACGTGAATGTATACAGTATATATGATTACAGTATTTATATTAAAAAAAACACCAATTCATGTTGTCAATCATGCTCTACAGCTAAACAAAATTGCATATGTAGTTTCTTGTCATGCTTATCAATTTCTACTCTAAAGTTGAGGGAAAAAAAACCCCACTCACCCATATTTCCCCTCTCGGGCCAAGTCCAGGGAGTTTTCTTTCGACCATATTTATGGTATATCCTATTCCAGCCGTTTCCACTTATAGCAGGAGGAGAAGCATTTGACAGAGGCGAAGCATTTTGAGCCATGCAGATGTCTGCTTAGTCCAAAGCCGACTTGCTGTCTGACTTGAACCACTCATTCATCCGAGGGCTGTCTCAGGACACTCCCACCACATGCAAATCAGTCCCATATGCCAACCAATGAGCCCAAACGTCCGTTGAGGCGTCTGCAGTTCACACACTCCGGGTTTCACGTGCTATTCACACGCATCATCGCACGCTTGGCCTTTCGCGACGCACTCCTCAATGCAATGTGCAGCACGGCCCATATGAATTATAACAGGTTAGTCTGAAATGGCCTGAATTGCCAAAATATAAAATGTCCTTACATGGGAGATTGATGTGAGTTAGAATTATCTGAAAACAAAACCACAAGCATAGGTGGGGCACATGTATGCTCATATGATTTGGGCATTAGAACAGTCATTTTGTTCGTGAAATTAATGGCAAAAAAAAATATATAAAAATGATCAGAAGGCAGATCTTGGCATCATAAGTAGTGATATGGTCTGATTCTGGATTGAGCCTTTAAATAATTCAGCCCCTTAATCCCCATGTGTTCTAAATGCCCGGCCAGCTGTTTGCTGGGATTGGAAACATACTGCTGAGAGAAAATGATGATTGAAGTCCATCAGAAAAACACACATGCGCGCGCCGCACTACCGTAATGTTGAAAATCGATAAATCCCTTTTCCTCCCAACATTGTTTTTAGCAAAGCACGAAACCCCAAAACACGATTGTCAACGTGTGGGAATGTGACTGCAGAGTTGCTCCGAGATGCAAAAGACTTGCAACGCACCGAGGGTCCACCCAGAAATCCAATGTTTGTTTTTCTACATGTTCGACCATGTTTTTTTTTTTTTTTTTTTTTACATAAAGCAACGTTAATTTTTTTATGAAGCTCCAAGAATGTGTTCTCAATATTGTGTGACAGAATTTTAGTATTCCCACCTGTGGCTGGCCGTCCAGCCTGGGCCTAATTGTGATCAAAGTGTCAACAGCATTGAAGGGCAATTACAGAACGATAAAATGCCAATGCTCAATCGCTGTAACGTGCGAATTAAAACACGGTCTGTTCTGAAAGTTGACATGTAAGTACATCCAGCGAGTGAAAGCAAAGGATTCAAATACTTGGCGATCCAAATACAGCAGATGCAAAATTGTTCCGGTTCAGTTACTCTCCAAACTGCTTGAAAGCGGCATGAGGAAAATTTGCATTTCTTGGAAACGCAAGCTTCACATTTACTCCTTGGGATCCAACTGTTTACGTACAAATACATGTATTACACTTGGAGGAAGTGATACGGTACAATACAATGTGAAAAATTTGGCAACTCCTGACTTGTTGAATAAGGAAGTTTCAATCCTGCCGAGGGCTTTATTACTTCTTTACGTCATTTGATCCTGTGTGAGATGAGGCTGGGTAATCTCTTCCCAGATTTCCAAACAGATGTCTTATCAACGATGGTCTCCTCTTTTAATCAAAGTGCTGCTAAGCTAGCCTGATAGCTGCGCACACACACACACACACACACACACACACACACACACACACACACACACACACACACACACACACACACACACGTCTTCCTAACTCTGCAAATGAATATGAAAGCCTGCAAAATATTTGAGATGTTTTTTTAAAATCAAGAAAGTAAAGACTCACGGGTTGTGAAGGAGTTCTCCAAGGTGCAAAGTAGGTAAAAATGGGTGAAAATAGGCTTGTTTAATGTCACATCGAAGCTTGTTTCATCAAATACAGGCCTGATATACCCACAGGAAGGCTAGAATTATTTTGTTGAATGATCGGCAACAGGCAAATGCACAAGTTGATTGTACCTTCTGCCATCTCTGTCACGACAAGTCGCTGGCACTGATTGATGAACAAAGATATTTAAAAATGAAGCATTTTCAGTGCAACGCAAGAATGTTCCACTACTAGACGGTGAACAACGACCAAATCCGATCTCCACATTCATAAGCAAAACGAGAGCCAACTGCGGGAGGCTGACCATTTTTAAATCAGTTGCTTGAGGATGATTCATGTTCATACACTGGACTTTGGTGTCAGAGCACAAAGTAAAACAAACAATTTTTGCTTCTAAAATTGAATTATCTTTATTCACCGCAGTGTTTTGAAGATAAATTGTGTCATGTTCGTTGTTAATGTTTTATTGGTTTCTCTGTGTATCCAGAAAAGCTGCAGCTTGTATAAAAAAAACAATTTATTATTATTAGTGGCACCTATTTTTTCAACTGCCTTCTCACTTTGTCCAATGTCACCCTTTTATTATTATTATTATTTTAAACTTTTTTAAACTGGCTTAGCAGGCGGGCCTTGTCAAATGTCATTTTTAGAATACGCCGCGGGCTGCTGAAAGACGGATGGTGGGCCACAAATGGGCCCCGGGACCATAGCTTGAACACGCAGTGTCTAGTCACTTGTGGGTTCTGCCTCGAAATGTTTTGGATTCAAAACACTTCCTATGTGGAGTTTTTGGACCCAGAAGCGGGAAATCAGAGAGATCTTTAACAAGAATCCAAAGCAACCACGGAGATGCGTCACAGAGCAAATGGCGCTTTTAACTCCTGACAGACAGTGCGCCAAGACCAAAGATAACAAAGGAAAGGTGACAAAATAAAGGGCCGCAACATCAAAGATCCAACCCTAAACAGAGTCACAAGTTCAACCGCTCACAACAGCTTCCATGTTCTCCCCATGCTAACGTTGCAAAAACATCGGTGAAGCCTCAAAATTGTCCTCGTGGAAAAAGGACTCACTGCACTGGCGACCTGTTCATGGCGGTTGAACGCAGCCACAATGAGGACCAGTGCGATTGAAAATGGATTGAATTGATTTGCTCCTCTACTGCCATCTGCTGGTTGCAATTACACGCATCGCTAATGTTGGAGGACAACCATAGGATTAAAAAAAAAAAAAAAAAAAGATTGCTTTTCTGGTGCATTGACAGCTTTGTGTTGACGGATTTTTAAATAGACGAACTCCTAAAAACGTACTTATTTTCATCCATCAACTCCGAAATGCATCCGGTGATATGTCTTGTCTTCTGACATCTCCGAGCGAAGAGCGAGCGGGCTTTTCCTCATCTCCGGTTCTTGTCAAATGCCAAACGTGTTCTGAACAAGAACACAACAGAAAGAGAGATGTCAATCCATTTGGTTGTATTGTTTTGGATTGACAGACGGAAGAGCGGGCCGGGTTGAGACTGGAGTCTGCTTTTTCTCGTGACTCTGTGACTGAAGGCGCATGCTGGGTACGTCCCTGCCTGGGCAAAGTCGCTTCAGTGCAACACATCTCTCACACAGCGGTCGCCAAGAAGATTACCTGCCAGGCGGACCGGTAATGAAGTTTCTATTGACTGGGCCCACCATAGGTACTTGTTTCTGTCTGCTAACTGTTTCCAAGTTTTCATTTAAAGTTTTCGAGCGCATTAGTTCCATTTTTTTTTTTTTAAAGAATGTTTCCTGCAGGTTGTCAATTACCGATGAAAAACAATTGTAAGCGACTTAAGAAAGTCCAATTTAGCTTCATCTGGCTCAATAGAAAATCAGATCGCGTTTTCTGTTTCTGTTGTTTTCACAAAGGCTTTCGATGCTTTTCGAATTTTAATGGTCATTGGGGAGGTTCGAATGTGAGCACAATTTGCTCGTTTTGTTGTGCAACTCTCAGCAGGAGAGTACAAAGCTCGTTTGGCTCATTAAACGTGGCAGATGGGGGGGAGAAGAATACCAAAGTAAGTAGCTTAGAATTGAGAGGGTGTCATATTATACTTTTTAATTATATTCTATACACACCCAACATTTTACTTAAATCCCTTCTGGCCAGATTGAAACTGAAGAGAGTTTCAATGTTGGTCTTGCATGTACAATACAGCAATTGTCAGAGCCTTACCGGATTTAAAAAGACATCATGTTGCAAAGGTGAAAGGTCAGGCAGAACTATGTAATGTAGCCCGAGAATGAACTTGTTTAAACAAATGGCACCGTGTTGTCAATGCAATTTTTGAAAGACAAAATGTCCTGTGTCTGACCTTGGGCTTACATGCTAGTTATCATTTTGTGAATTAGAATTACAAAACCTATACAGGCATTGATACAAATACTGTACATGGCAAACCAAGGTCCATCAGTCACGAAGATTCCTCGAAACTGCGTTATCACTTAGCTGAGTGTGGAACTGTGAACAAAAGAGCGTATGTGTGTGTGCGTATGCATGTGTGTGTGTGTGTATGCGCCTTCGCCGCCTTGCCCGTGTTTGTTGTCCATCAGTTTGTCAGTTTGATAAAAAGAAGAATCACAGTAGTGAACTCTGCAAACACACAGTTAGTGGCACACGCTAGTTAGCAAGCAATGTGCTGGTTCATAGAGCATGATGTATCCCAAACAGTGCAGTGGTTGCATTTCGATGACCATTAGAGCCACACGGATGGGCAAGAGAATACAAACATATCTCAGTGGTATGCTGCATGCAGTTCTACACCGTTGCCTACTACAGCCACCATAACTTGAAGGTGAGGTGTCAATCATTTATTATATCAGTTATTAAATAAATATACTGTATATACTTTGGATTTCAAAATGGCAACAGTTGTTGTCATTCAATATCCTGTGATGATGAACTGCAACTACTAAACGGAGCCAAGCGTTTAATAGGGAAGACATCAGTGCACAACTTTAATTGGATATGACAAACCTTCCTCCGCTGTTTGCTAATGCAACCGCTGTTCAGTGCAACATCATTAGGATGCGGCTGTCGTGTTGTTTTTACTCACATTGCCGGAGTGGTCCAATTTGACAGCACGGTGTAGATGTCGCCATACATTGGACTCGCTCAAGGTCATATTTGACAAGACAACATGGCACAGCATCTCAGATTGTGGCTGAGGGAGCCCAAGGAAGGACAAATGCCGCACGCCCTCTTCTGAATCTCCCCCCTCCTTCCCTTAAGTGGGGACCTCGAACATACATTTGCCGTATCGTTTTGATTAGGATGAGATAAATCCTTTCATGATCCCCAGAGACGGAATGTGCGGCCTCGTTCGTATGGTACAGGCTACTTCACTCTTTGTGTATGCATGAGGTTGTTGTGCGTGAGGACAAACTATACAAAACCAATATAATTCTATGTCACCCAAAGAGGTGATGCATGTCCTCATGCCCTTTGGAGACTTGTGAGCGGAGTGGAACAAAAGGAAGAATATGGATTTCTGGGCGTCCTTGCGATGGCATCTTTATTACTTGGTTTGACACTCGAGTCCAAAGAAAGTACGGAGGTAGGAGTTTGTATCGGAAAGTGTGCATGCTTCCATACGCCCCTTCACCACAATATTAGACACGACTGGTCTGACAATCCAATGCCAGATTCTTACTAAAAAAAAACATTTTTATGTACGCCACCAGCGAGAGGCAAGTAATGCACGTTGATTATTTTGAAACTGAAAGTGGTGTATGGCATATGCAATGAAA